CATGAGGGCACTTTAATCCTTTTCTTTTGTCATGTTGAGACCTATATATAAGGGCCCCCTCTTATTGTATTTGGTTAATGATTTGATGAATAAAAATTCTAGCTTTTGTCTTTTTCAATGTTGTGAGCTTTGAGAGAAGAAAGAGAACCCTAGGTGAGGGTAAATGCAATACCCGTCAGTCTTTGGAAGAGTTCAAGGCTCGCGACTTATCTCTACCTTCCTTCCCTACTTCCACTGCCGACTCCCTCTCCAACGCCTCCCCAAGCCGCCGGCATCATCCCCTTCTCCCCGTCAAAGCCTTAACCTCCTTTCCCTATCCATAGCCATGTGATCAAAATGCCAATGGATCTAGGTGATCCTCCCACGGATTCTCATCTTAGCTGTGGGATCTAAATGCCAAGGGATGGCTAGTACGTAATAGGTGAGCTTCCCACAGATTTCCATCCTAGCTATGGGATCAAAGCCAATGGACCATTGAGATTTAACAATGATTTCATTTTAAATTCATTGTTGCTCGTATTATGTTCTTTTGTGCGTGTTGTGGATTCGGTTGCTAGTGTCATAAGTTGGAATATTTTGTGTGTACAGAAGGGTACAATTTATCTGTCTATTGCTTATATTTTAGTTGCATTGGCCCCATAAAGTGTCACTTCTCTCATAAAAAGAAGCCCATCATAGTTTATGTTCATTCCAAGTTCAATTCATCGAGCAAGTTCTTAAGGGTTATGAATATTCAGGAGAGTTCTTTATATTATTTAGAATGTTTTGTGCTCCTAAACGTGCTCTCAAGTTCTTTGTAGGTCCTTTTATTTGGTGAGAATCTTTCAAATTCATTGTGAACCCCCTGTAAGTCTAATTTGTGTTCAATTATTGCCAAACATTTTCATTTATTGAATTTTCTTTTTATTCTTATTTTACAATTTATACTTGTTTGTTTGTTTTTTCTTTTTTTATTGCATATATGGTCCAGAATATTCTTGTTTTTTATTTTTTTTAGTTCTATGCAAGTTTGTTTCACTATAAATTTTAGCAGACTTCTAGCATCTCCCCCATATAAGGGAGATCCACATGGAGTTTAGGCCTGTCCACCATGTTAAAAAAGGCGTACATGAGATGTGTAATCACCATGGTTGTATTTTCTACTCTCACAACACCAAAAAGGTTTGCATGGGTTTTGTACATGTATGGAAACTTTGCAAATAGTATTTTCCTGTAGCTTCAAGAATTGTATGGGTACTTATTTTTAGTGGTGACACGGCTTCTTTTTCCATTGCACTAAGAATGACATGTATGGGCCACTTGCATGAAAGTAAGCAAGTAATTAGGCTTTTCCCAACTCATCAAGAAAGATGTGTACGAGAAATTATAGGAAAGTGTGAGCTTAGTTTGCATTATATCTGGTGTGAAAAAGTGATGATATGACAATTGCGAGTGCATGACGAGACAATGATACGAGACAATGATATAAATACATAATTTTTCTTCTTTTTTTGTTCTTTTTTCTCTTTTTTTTTTTTTTCTTTTTAGTGAGAGGAAGGGGAGAGAGATACCGAGCCAGAAAGAGAGAGAGATAGAGATAGAGAGGAAGGGAGAGAGAAAAAGAGAGTGAGAGATTGAGAGTAAAAGAAAAGATAAAGAAATAAAGAGAGTGAGTAGGGGTATCAAAACTGGTTGGCGTGTCTGGTTTGGGTCTGACCCAAAATTGACTTGACATTAATCCAGTTAACTTGAACCCAACTTATTTAATAAACATGTCAAAAAAAATAACTAGAACCCGATCCTTTAATCCATTTTGGTTAAAATTTTGTTAATAACTTATTGACTATAAAGTTTAGGATATTTGATAAAAAATAAGAAGATTATACCTACAAGTAAAAAAATTAAGGAAAAAGATATTAAAACGAATCATGTTTAGGTCAAAAGCGTGTTCAACCCATTTAATAAATGGGTCGAAAAACACAACTTGAACCTAACTATTTATTAAATGGGTTAACTCGATCCCAGAATTTTCGAGTTGGGTTGGCGTGTTTGGCCATTTATTCACACCCTTAAGAGTAAGAGAGAAAGAAAGAGGGGAATGAGCTGGAGAACGAGAGATAAAATAAGAGGTTTAGAGAATGAGAAGAAGAGAAAGAGTGAGATAGAAGAAGAGGGAGAGTGAGAAAAATTGCGGCGAAGTCTTCGATCACGAAGGAGGTTGTCGATGAGGGTGTCGCGAGAAGAAATGGAGTTTTCGAAAACTTTTAGTAGCAAGATTCAACTGAGATTTAACGAAAATTCGTACATCTCACATGCTCCTATTTTTCTTCGCTTGTTGCCAGTCCAACCAATGCCTTCTACCATGAGCTTAAATCATGGCTTCCTCACTTATTTATTTTTAATCCCGTCATTGACTTCTCAAGTGGGTTTCCATACAACTCTCTACTTCACAGACCATAGGACTTGTCGATGCTTGCTTTCCACAAGCTCTTGGCCGCGACTTTGTCATTTATTTGGTGCAGGGGGTTTCCGGAATTTTGATGACATTGGCGAGGGAGAGAGGGTTATTAGTTATTTACTATTGTTATTTAGTTGGTTAACTTCCATTATTATTTTTCTTTTTATTTTAATAAGATAAACAATAAAAAATATAAAAAAATAATATAATATCATATACATCATAATACCAAAAATACTCTCACATACAACTTTTAAGTTTGTCTTTAATTGTTACCTTTGTCCATTGGATCAAATTAAGATATTTTTTAATAGTTGGAGGACTAAATTGGGTTATCATGAAAGTCTGGGATCAAATTGAGTATTTATTAGAAACCGAGGGATTATTTTGGTCTTTTACACTTTAAAAAAAAAATTAATAATAATGCCATTTATTGCTCTCTCACAATACTCTTGTCTCTCACATACATCGAAACTGCATCTTTGCCTTGTGTGTGAATAATTCCCTAATTTTTTCTTGTGCGATGACCTAAGCAATATGGGTGTCTATTTTAGGTTTTCAACTATCTCAAAAGTACGAACATGCATTATTTGAGCGATTTGATTGTTAGTTATGCTTTTTAAACATCATATGTATGACATTGTATTGTTCGCTAATTGTTTTTGATGTATTCGACTATTTCGATCTCCAAGTGCTTATCAAGTCAATATGTCATTGAGTTACTTCTTTCGAGGTGGTATGCTTTTTTAAATATTCTACACATTCATTTTTATCATAATTTGGCACTTTTCACATGCTCAAATATCAAAGTACGTGCAAGCTATGTGATTATTCACTCTTTTAGTAACATCAATAATTATTTTATCACAAAATTTGCATTGTTATTAATCATAGCCTTTTTTTTGCATCCTCTCCTTTTATTTCAAACCTGCGTGCCATATTTTCATGTTGGATGTTTTCTTCTAGCACCACTGACCACTGCAATAAACTAAAAATAATAATATAAAAGAAAATTAAGAAATAAAGGAAAATAAAAGCAGCTAAAATGAAAATAAAATAAAAACTCTAAAAAAAAATCAATACAAAAAATCTATAATGTAAATCAAATTAAATCATTTAAAAGAAAATTTAAAAATATAAGTAAGATATATGAGATGAAATCTAACCTGCTTGTCTACTCCGCTCAAGAATGTGCTCTCAATCTCACCATTGTAATGGCCTTTCCCCCATTCGCTTCCCTATTCCCTCGTTTGCAATCTCAGTAGCCCTCCTGTGCTTGTAGCAGCAAAAACACTCTCCATACTCATAGCTATAGCAACTTACTCGCAATCTATTCTCTCCCTCGACGCTTTCTCTTTCTAGCTTGACTCACAGACCCCCCCTCTCTCTCTCTCTCTCTCTTGACTAACTTGAAAAATATAAACCGGACTAAAATATAAGCTATATTAAACATATTATAATATCTTATAACGATTTGCTTATTCTTATTAATTTGAGGTGCCAACCTTAAACATCTCGAGGAATAAAGCCTTGATATATAGCCTTAACCAAAAAAGGTGTAAGCCATTAGAACAAAAATAAGTAAGTCTCTTAGAATTTTTTTTGGCACCTCATGTGCCTTGAGGCGTGCGTCATGAACACTTTTTAATACATGGTTGATACAAGTTAGGATGGAGGAGAGAGAGTAATCCACTATAATAATCATTTAGATGAAGACCCTCTAAATGATAGAAGTGGGAGGAACTTTTGAATTCATAGTTTTTGATTTACAACTTCTTGTCTATGTTGAATTGAGTTTGAATGGAATTGTTAATTTTAGACCTGTTTATATTTACTAGCTTATCTTAGACTTTATGCTTTTGATTTAGTTCTCGTATAATTTTTTTTATGATATTACTTGACGTTTTATGATCTTATTTTGCCATCTTATTTTGATATTATAATGTTACTTCTTATTTATATTTTAATTAATTTATTGATTTAAATTAGCTCTTGTCTCAAAATGTCATGGGGCTTGCGCCTCCCCTCACGAAAAGAAAACATTTCAATATCCTATTACCTAATTTCAAACCTTGACCTATGCTGCTCCTTATGTTTTGCTTATTGGAAAACCATATAGATTACAAAACTAAATTAATTTCTACCATAAAGCTACATTTTTCATGTTCATCTTTCTTTTAGACATGCATTTTATTTGGTTGTGATTCTTGCCTTCTATCATGCCATCTGGTAAAGAGGATTTCAATCCTCAAAATCTTATTGTAAAGTGCAGTTTGAGCATCTTGTGCTTCCCTTAGCTTGTTCATCAGTAATATTGTTTTACAGAGTCAGATTTTCTTTGATTGTGTATCTACAATTGTTTTGCGTAACTAAACTTAAAATTTTCTTTTTTGGTATTGCATTTTAAGTAATCTTTTTCATTAATTTCTCTAATTCGTCTATAGCTGATTTTATTTTGTTTGATTGACTCAATTTATTATGACTGGTATTGTTAATGTTGTTAGAGTCCCATGAGAGTTTTTTTTTAATCTGCGTTGTCTTTAAAATTGAAATTTTTTTGTAGTGCTACCTTCCATACGGAACTCCAATAACCACACTAGGGGTACTTTTGGACGTGGCAGGGGTGGACTGCTTCCAAGACCAGGATACCCCCCTAGGCAGAATTATGGTTTTGGTAATAAGTTTTCATATGGAAATGGACGTAATGATGAACGATTCGTTTCTGAATTAAGGCTTACTAAGAGTGAAGAAACCTTGTCAAGAAAATCGATCCAATTTCAGGAGGTAATTTAGACATTTATTCATGGTTTGTAATACAGCTTAAACATAAATAATTTTGCTGGCAAATATTTGATTGTTCAACACTTCATGAAGCCTTGTGAGTTGGCATGTTATAGCCGCGTTGAAGGTGGTGATGTATACTTTGATGATCGCAGCTTGGTAAGAACTCTTCTTGTTATTTTCTTCCAATTTCTTTTTATAATTATGTGTAAATCTGTCGTTTCATAGTTGTATTTAGAGTTTATACTTGAAATGACAGTCATTTGTGCCTGAGCCATTTCTTTTTATGAACTTACGTACTTTTTAACTCGCTTTTCTAAGATTTTTCCACGACCAATTTTCTTTTTTTTTTGGTGCTGTTAGAGGCTTTTTAAACGCTTTGTTTGTGAGGATGTGGGAGCAGATCTCAATAAAGGATTTGTGTCATTTGTTGAGAAGAAAGGTCTATATCTTCTCTCTCAATTTTTCTCTTTAAACATATGATGCGTTTTACATATACTTGGTATCATTTTTGTGTATACATTATTGGTTATCTTTTGATGCTTACAAAGGTTAACTGCTCAATTGTTTTTTTTAATCATCTTATAGCTGCTCGTTTTAAAATTCCTAATTCTAACCTATTACATCATATTTATAGTAACAGAGCTATCTTTGAAGATTGGACTGTAATCTAAATTTTTTGACATTTGGTTCCATATTTCATGCCATGTGATTTCCAGGTTTAGTTGGTTTGCACATTGTGCTTGAAAAACATGCTTTTTATAAGGTCTGCTCAGCTGTGTGTGCGCACATGACCAAGGCTTAACTACTTGACGATATTACTTCAACTTTACCTAAAAAATCCATGCCTGTTACTGAAAATATCCTTGACACTGAACTTATGACATTTAAACATCCTTTTACTTGCTTATTTTCTACTTTATTCATGTTAGCAGACTTCCTATTCTCATCCTTGTTAAATCTTTGTAAATTCAAGAGAGCATTCCATTCAATGCTAACATAACACAGCTCTTATCAAATAAAAGATTAATAATACCATTATGCTTACAAGCTTAATAGCCCATATGCATCTATGTGCGTTCATTTTACATGCACTAAAATTACTTGTCTTGTAGGAGGCAAAGAAAGCATTTAATGTTGTCAACTTTAGCTGCATGATAATCTGGTCAGAATTTATTTCTACTATACATCACATCACTATTAGGTTATTTGGTCTTTTAAAAGACGATCGACATGCCCTAAGTACCTAAGAGATATGCGCTATTCTTAATTTTGCTTTATGTTGTTGCTACGTTGTAAAACATGTGGGTATTCCGTTTAATTCTTGAAATTTTGATATCTGCTTTTAAAGTATTAATTAATCTCTTCTTTTTATCTTCATATTAGATCTGGGATCTGAAGGTTTTGGTGATCTTCTTGCTTGCATAAGGCATGCAAACATTCCTCTTCAGAATATTCATTTTGTGGTAAACAGTATAACTTTATCATTCATGGATAATATGATTAAATTCTCTTTAGTTATTCTGTTTCTTCATTCTTATAAATACGATGCATATTGTCTCCTAACTGTTTATCTTCTTTGCTGCAGACTTTTCGTAACAACCTCAATAAGGTATACATTTAGCCAATTATGTATATGCGAACAATCATTTGCCTACATATAGTTGCCACTAATTACAGCTCTAATTGGCTGTATTATTATACATGCAGAATTGTAGCTGTAGAGTTTTGGAGTTTTATTTAGTTCTTCAGTAGTGGGATAAATGCCTGATGTTGTTGTTATTGTAATAGTTTTGGTCATCTTGGATTTTTGAGAGTAAATAAAATTCGTGTGTTTTCTTACTAGATAATGGCTACAGCCTACATACGAAATGAACCATGGAAAATGGGTGTGCATAAGAGAAATGGTGTTGTGTATCTTGATGTGCATAAGCTTCCAGAGAGGCCGCAATCAGAGATTGACCGCCTAAGGTATTATTGCATTCTATTTAATTTCCTAAGGCAATGACCTATATTGCATGTCACGTATGAACAAATTTTGTTAGATCATTTTGCCTTTTTATGGTAATTTGTGCTACGCAAAATAAAGCTGAATTTACTCAGTGCTATCCATGTTTATGAAGCCATGGAGGGATGCATGCACAGAGCATGGATATTTGTGGCGTGTTTACCACACAAATTAAATTTTGTGGTATGATATGATTTTGAAAATTAAGGAAGAAGAAATGTATTACCAAACAAAGCGTACTTATACTTAGCCTTATGTGGCCTTTGGCCAAAAGGGGCTGTTGGGTAGCTCGATGATTTCAGGTTATGAGTAAATTTTGTGGAAAAATTTGCACCTTGTTCAATTAATTGTCCCAACAGATCACGGGGTCAATTGACAGGGATCATTTTGGGGCCTTATAGCATTCAGTAGTCTCCCAAAATCTGAAAATCATTCACATTTTTAGCATGCTTACCAATTAAAGTATGAACTTATTTACATTTTTATGTTCAAAACACGAAGAGGAATTGATAGTCTGTAAGACTGAGTTCATGGTTCTTTTTTGAAAGAATGTGAATCTAATAATGAATTAAGTTTTTAAATTTCACAATTCTTACATAAGTCCAATTAGGCATAGATAGCTGTGGTTGAAATAACCATAAAAAAACCACTTTGCTAAGATATTTAGTATAGGGTGTGTGCACCATCCTTGGAGCAACATACTCTAGTTAACCTTTTTTTCGTTAATATATTTTTTTTTAATACTCTAGTTAACCTTAACCACTGTATTGTCAATAATGCATAAAGCTACTAAATAGGCATTTGCTGACCTTTTATGCAGTAGAATTGATTTAACATATTTTCCCTGGCTTTGATGGTATAAAATTGGAGAGCGGAATGTTGAGCTGAAACATTTCATAAAATTGGAAGTTTCAGATACATATTTTCTATTATGTATGCCAGATGCTATTGGGGCTATGCTTTTGAGAACCTTGCAACTGAGAACTCCAGAGACATGGGTGAAGATGGTAAAGGTATTGATGCGAATATGGAATTCTGTTCCGTGATCAAAACCAAACTAGGAGCACACAGAATCATTATGGGTGCAGAGATGGACTGCTGTGATGAAACTGATGCTGGAAGGAAATTTTATGTAGAGTTGAAGACTAGTCGAGAGGTTCTCTTTTCTTCTTATTTGGTCTTATTTATTTATTTTATTTTGTTTGCAGAGAATGTTAATCTTTTTGTTAGGTTGCTCCTAAGAGTTTTTTTTTATCTTTATTTTTTGTTTTATCTTTCTTTTTTATTATTATCATTATTATTTTTGCATTTGTTCACATTTGAGCAGTTGGATCATCGAACTGAGGAGCGATATGAAAGAGAGAAACTTTTGAAATTTTGGGTAAAAAATACCTCTTATCAGCATTTTATGCACTAAATCTGTCTGGTTTGATGGAATGCAGCTTTCTTATCTCTTTGTTATGAATCCAAAAAGTTTACAGGTATCTTTTTTGTTATTATTGCAGATCCAATCTTTCCTGGCAGGTGTTCCTTACATTGTTGTTGGGTACAGGTACCTAATAGTCTTGAACATTTCTTTTTTCATTCAATTACAGAAAAGGCGTTTGGATTTCTTTGACTTTATTCTATATCCTTAATTGTTAACTAGTTTGTTAAATTTATATAATAAGTTGAAGGATGGTGAATACTATTTTTTTAAATTGAACTGAAAGCGTGTGATTAATCTTGAATTGATTTTTGAGATGTTATGAGGTGTGTCTATAGCCAAACTGATTAATGATTATGGACATTTCGAGTAATGGTATATATATCAATTTACTCAATGATTTTATGAGAAAAACAGATTTATTGTAGGACTGTTACGACCAGGCTGTGGGAGGTGGGATATGTTGAAATTAGAATTTCTTAGGAAGGGGGGTTCAACCCTCCCCTTTTGGGCCCAGTAAAGCTTTAATTCAATATGAAAGGAGAAGGAATCAAGAGAGATTATTTAAGAAAGTTTTAATTACAATTGATAGAGAATTAATTAGGGAAGGATATCTAATTTGAATTTAAATTTAAGGGGGAACTAGTTAGGGAGAGAGGGTTGCTTTGGAAGGGAACTAGGAGAGCCTATTTAAGGCTAACAATGGGTGATTTCAGAACTATACTTTGAATCTGTTGAAATTAGAATTTCTTAGGTTATGAGGGCTCTAGCGCCGGCTAGGGATTTGAGAGAGCCGGGTCTTCCTCCAATTGCAGATCAAACTATATCTTGTTGTTTTCATTCATATATCTTGTAATGAAAAGAGTTTTGGTGTGTTTTTCTTCACAATTTCTTATTTTCAATCGCTGATTTCAAGAAAATTGTATCAACTTCCTATCAAATTGGTATCAGAGCAATTTTCTGGGCTGAAATAAAAGTCTCCCTCGCTGAATTCTTCCGCATTTTTATTTTCGTTCGTGTTGGTTTTTTTTAAGGTCAAATTCACATCAAATTGCTATTTTTATGCTGCTTGGAGCCTAGATACGTGTACCTACGGCAGGAAAAAAGGTGGAAGTGTTGAAAGGGGAGATCAGCTAGTTGAAATCTGAAATTTCAGATTTTCAAACTCAAATTTTAGCTGTCTACGAGAAGATCACTGGGAAGTTTTCCATCGTAGATGAGATGATGAAGAAGATGCTCAAGATCCAAAACCAAAACGGCATTGTTGGAGGGGAGGGAAGTCGCCGGTAGCCATGGCAGTAAGGAAAATCCTAATTCGATACAGAAAAGGGAAGAACAAGAGATAGGGATCTTGGAGGGAGAAGAGAGAAGGCCTCCTCTAGGGCCTATTCCTAGGGATGAGACAGGTAGAGGATATGGGGGAGGGGAGAGGGGTGAGGGGGTTGGCTATGAGCGAAAGGGTCACTGAATTTGAAAGGAGAATAGTTCGAATAAACATTTCTTGGTTCATCTACATGAAACTCCTTAATATGAGAATTGAAGTGTAAATCTAATGATCCATGCGACCTTATCATGCATTGTTTAGAAAGTATTTATATGTATGAGTTATCTCTACTAAAGAAGAAAAATTCTGATGAACATTTGATTAATCCGGCATCCATGCATAATGACTTCCTACATTATGGAAATCAACCAAGAAATGCTACTTAATTATTGATGTCGTTAAAGAAGCATGTTTGTTCTCTTCTAGAATAAAAAATATTATTAAATTGTATTTAGATAATAACATATCAAATTCAAGTTCAAAAGAAGCGGTGTTATAATAACATCAAATATAAGCTAATATGAAAGCACTTCGCCACGTCAAACAAGCACGGTCACACATCGTTGAGGTAATTGCTGCTCAGGCATGTAAAAATGAACAAAGAAATAAAAAAAAGGAACTTATGCGTTCATTTGCCAATTGCCCGAATGGTTCTTCTATTCCGAGAGCTCTCGACCACTCTTCTTGTTTGAAGCCTGCTCCGATTCTCAAGCCTCCCGTCCATCTGTAACTCGGATCCACACTTCCTTGGTTTCACGCAAAAAGCTCGATTGCAATCAAACCGTGCCTCTGGTGCCTTTAGACCATCGTTAATCAGGGGGAAGGGGATGCCGGTAGGTTACCGAAATTTCTCCGAAATTATTGGGCTTGTGTGGATATTTGGAAAGATTGGAAAATGTTCAATTGATTGATTTAATTTTGCAAATTAATTAATTTATTAAATTAACTTATAAATTAAGATGATTTAATAATTAATTAATCGATTTAATTAACCAAATAATAATAATTTAATTAGAACTTTAATCTGTAATTAATTAATGAATCTGTCATCTAATTAGCTAATTAAAATATCGATTAATTAATTATTAATTAATAATTTGTGGTATTATTTAACTTAAATGAGCAAGTAACTTAAAATTTTAATTTACTAACTAATTCCAAATTTATCTTAAACTAAAACTTTTAATTAATTAAATTTAAGCAAAAGAGCCTTTATTATCAATCAATTAAATTTAATTAACTGATTAATAACTAGTCAGTAATTTAACAAATTAAATAATTAATTGAAATCAGAAATTCATATTTGATAATTAAAATTCAATTAAAACAATTATTAAAATCAAACTTTAATTAATTAAAAATTGACTTAAATTTAATTACTAAAATTATTCATAACTCTAATAAACCATTTAATTAATCAATTTGGGATTTTTTTTGGGGGGGATCTGATTAATTTAACCCTGCAGTTAGTTTAAAACAAAATTTAAATCCTTTAATAAATTAAATTAAAATTAATTAACCAACCTAATTAATTAATTAATGCAATTAATTTAAAATTAAATAAATGCATTAAATAGAACACAAAACAATGTTCACAATATCAGACACTGCACAACTCATACTAAAACTTAAACTAAAAATTAACCAAAGCGTAAAACAGAAAGAATGCACTAAAATTCCTATAACTCCTGGTAGGCTCTAGACCCTGGTAAGCTACAACTCCTGATAAACCCTGCAATTACCTGTGAGCTCTAGTTCTCAAACTATTATAAGTATTGTGTACCTACAAGCAAATAAACAAATCATCAATACAATCTAATAAAAAAAGAGCAAGTGCTGGTAACACAAGCAGATACAGAAAGAATAAAACTAGTACTAGTAAGAATAGAACTAGTACTAAAATAAACAGGTATTAAAGTAGAACTGGTACTGAAAGTAAAGGAGCGAGTACTGAACAAACAACTGCTCTAAAGTAAAAGACAAGGTATTGAAGTATGAAATCTACGAGCACTACTACAAGCAAAAACACAGTAAACTATTAAAAGCTAGGGTAGAAGGCACTAGTGTCGGGTGGTAGGGCGAGTAACTACTCTAAAGCCAACCTAATAGGTAACTACTAGCTAATGCAGGGTAAATCCCAATTAATTCTCCCAAGGGGAGTTATAAACCCTCCTAAGGGGAGCAACAAATACTCCACAAGGGGAGTAATCAAACCAACATACTACCTCCAAAGGGAAGCAGTAAGTCTTACAAACCAAACACTACATTGACAACCTTTAATAGAGGACATATGACCTATTATTCGGGCAGTCTTGCTTATAGGGTTAGGTTGTAAGACCCAATCCACGGGCTACTTTTAAACAAGGGAAGAAGATCCGCTATGCGTGCTACTTCTAATAGAAGTAGTAAGACCCATTTAAATGCAGAATTACATGTTTGCTTCCAACACCTTGCTGCTCCCACAATGCTAAAGTTAAATTGACAACTTATAATAGAGGTCGTAAGTCCGACTTTAGCTAACGCGTTAGGGGAAAATCTCTAGGTAAAAATAACCTAACCCTAAATCCTTGATAACCTGGGTCACTTTTAATAAAAACCGTAAGTCCCACTTCAATTAGGGTGTTAGGGAAAATTGTACTAGAACAATTAATGCATCCCTGATAACCTGGGCAACCTCTAATAGAGGTCATAAGACTTGCTATTCAGGCTGCTTTCAATGAAAGCCGTAAGTTGACTCCAAACCCAAACATGCAAGCTACTTATAAACGAAATCGTAAGACTCGCTATACGAGCTACTTTCAATGAAAGTCGTAAGTCCCAACCAAAGTCTAAATTTCAGGCAACTCCTAAATGCGGCAGTAAGACCTAACCTAAATCTAAAACTCTCGGGCAACTCCCAAGTGGAGCCACAAGTCCCAATCCAAACGGAATTAAAATTCACATTTATCCACTTCAGTTTACTCGGGATCCCTGAGAGGAGGCAACTCATGGCTGCTAATCAGATTATCTAGACACTACAATCAACGATTGTTAGTGTTGGTAGACTGAAACCTATGGTATACACTAGATGACGGAACTATAGGATCTTGATTGGGTTTAGCTCGATCTCCCATAACCAAATTTAAAATTATTGAATGTCTAAATTCTAGTTTTTTTTTTAATCGAGAGTTCTCTTCTACATGTTAGGAGGGATAATTAACTATGAAGGCTTGCCCTTATAGGAAGTTGACCATCGGAACTAAATAAACCCTGATGCCAATCATTGGTGGAAATCTGATTAATTTAAAATCCAATCTTCCTCGGGGAAAATGGGACCTTAAGCTTGCAAAAGCAGGGTTCGTGACGTAGCATAACATTCCTTTCCTAAGAGAACAAGAATGGTTGATTATAAGCAAAGGAGTGCTAAATTTGAAAGGAGAGTGATTGATTATGAGTGAAGGGGTGCTGAATTTGAAAGGACAGGGGTTGAATATGACTGTAGCAGTGCTGATTTTGAAAGGAAGAGGGGGGAATTTGTTGAAGAGTTTGGATACAAGCATAGAAGGGATAATCGTGATAGTTGAGAGGGGGGGGGGGGGGGGAAGAGGGGGGAATTTGTTGAAGAGTTTGGATACAAGCATAGAAGGGATAATCGTGATAGTTGGGGGGGGGGGGGGGGGGGGACCACCCCCTTGGGGAATGGGAGGCTATGGAGGAAAGAAGGGGAATTGAGGAGATTCGAGGGTGCGGAAGCTGAAGATGCCTATTTTTTAGGGAGAGGATGCACATGGGTGGATCTACATGATGGAAATGTTCTTTGTTG